TTAGACTGGACGGGTAATAGGACCACATGTTTTTTTTTCCTCCTCATTTGTTGATTTCTCTGCAACTATATTAGTTCAAAATGGTAAAAAAAGAGGGCAAAAAATCACTTGTTGATTTCTTTGCAACTATATTAGTCCAAAATTGTCAAAAATGAGGGTAAAAATGAGTCTCTTTATCTTTCTCTTGTGGATACTGCCCCTTTCCATCTTTCTTATCTCAAGGCAATGCACTCTCTTCTCCATCTCGTTATGGTGTATTTCGTTATGCAGAGCCTTCATTTTCGTGAGCTTGAAAATAGAAAGGTTATAATTTAACATTTAGGTCTTGTTTTTGCATATAATAATAACAATTGTGGATTGATGTTGATTCATGCCGTGAGCTCTATTTATGGAATCACGGTTCATAATAATTTCTACACTCGAACAAGTAGCAAAAAGAAGAAAAAAAATGACCGACAAGAAGAAGATTATCAGAGTTTCTCAAAAAATAATTTGTCTGTCTGATCTAAGAGTTTTTTAAATGTTGGTTTGATAATTTTGTAATTTTTGTTATTTTTTTTTAGTTCTATGCAAAAATCATACTGTGTAGAGACAAAGACAGGGATGAATCGGTCAAAAGTGTACGTATGAGAAATAGTAAGACTAAATTCAAAAAATCAAAGGGGAAGAAAATGTTGGAAGGAGTTGCGAGAATGGAAGCAAAAAAGAAAAAGAAAATCGTAGAGTTAAACAAAACGGTAGTCTTTATTTTAGTTCATCGAGTCCTTTTATGGCTTCCTACCATTTGCTACGTGATCTCCCATGAAGCTTAGCAATCACTTCGAAGAGTCAAAACAGAAAAGAATCAATGGTCTCTTCAGTTTTGACTCGATGAACTAAAATAAAAGGACAGCGAGAATGGAGGTAGAAAAGAAAAAATAGCTCAAAGAGTCAAAATTAAAGGAGGCAGCAGAGGCTGAAGAAGTGGACAGCGAGTAGGGGATTATGCCACTATTAATCCTGGGCCCACAAGAATAATTATATTGTCTCACTTTTTTAATGTGTTTTATACTTCCTGCGTTTGTGTTTTTCTCTTTATTTAGTGTGTTTTATTATTCTATTTAAAGTCTAAACTGGTTGGTTCTCTTAATTTTATTGATGTTACCTACCATTTGTGTCGTACTATTCTATTTCATTAATGTTCTGATTACGTAGCTTAACCAAAAGATAAGAAAAAAAGGATTGGTCATATAAAAGTAACAATATCTTATCTTGTCACTTCTTTGTAATTGTCACTTTTATATGACCAATCTTTTTTTTCTTATCTTTTGGTTAAGCTATGTAATCAGAACATTAATGAAATAGAATAGTACGACACTAAAATGCTAGATAACATCAATAAAATTAGGAGAACAAATCTGTTTAGACTTTAAAGAGAATAATAAAACACACACTAAAGAAAAAGAAAAACACAAACACAGGAAGTATAAAACACATTAAAAAAATGGAACGATATAATTATTCTTGTGGGCCTAGGATTAGTAGTGGCACAATCCCCTACTCGCTGCCCTCTTCTTCAGCCTCTGCTGCCTCCTTCAATTTTGACTCTTCAAGCTATTTTTTTCTTTTCTGCCTCCATTCTCGCTTTTTCTTTCCATCTTTTCTTGACCTTTAATTTTTTGGGTTTAGTCTTATTATCTTTTAGATGTGCACTCTTGACCGATCTCTCCCTGCCTTTATTTTTATACAAGATGGTTCATGTATGAAACTAAGAAAAAAAATAGAAAAATAAGAAAATAAAAAAAATAATCAAGCCAACATTTAAATAAAAAAAAAAATTCTTAGATCAGATAGAGAAATCATTTTTTGAGAAACTCCGATAATCTTCTTCTTGTCGGCTATTTTTTTTGCTACTTGCTCGAGTGTAGAATCCATTATGAACCGTGGCTCTATAAATAGAGCTCACGGCACGAATCAACGCCAATCCACCATTGCTATTCTTCTATGCAGAAACAAGACTTGAATGTTAAATCGTAGCCTTTATATTTTTAAGTTCACAAAAATGAAGGCTCTGCATAACGAAATACACCATAACAAGAGATGGAGAAGAGCGTGCGTTGCCTTGAGAGAAGAGAGATGGAAAGGGACAATATTCACAAGAAAAAGAGAAAGGGACTTTTTTTTTTCTTTCTCTGCGGTTCAATTGTTTTCTTTTAAAAAACCTTACTCTTTTTTTTTTTCTTCCTTTTTGACCATTTTAGGCTAATATAAATGAAAAGAAATCAACAAATGAGAAGGAAGAAGAAAATATACATGTGATTCTATTACTCGTCTAACCTAATAATCCATTACAGCTGTATTACATTCATGACATGCAAATTAATTCGTCTGACAAATCTGAGAAGTCAACAAGTTATTTTCAATTTTTCTTCACCATTGACACGTCTAGATCAAGTCATATAGGTTAATTAATGCTATTTATTATTATTATTATTATTATTATTTTATTAATGTATAAGTCCCTATCCATAGATCCTAAACAAAGGCATCAGAATTACCCAACCCCTCCCCTGAAAGTACAATCATATTAATTATTCTCGAGGAATATTAACATTTAAACTTACACACTTTACCATGAAATACAATACATTATGCAATACCCTATTCGGTTGCATATTTCTCCCATTAATACTATCTCCCAAAATCCAAGGTCGAATTTTTATTCACACACCTTTTCTTTTTGTAACCCAATAGTAGATATTTTTATTTTTATTTTTATTTGACTCAAAACATCAAAAAAGAGAGAGAGATTGGTGTAATTGAGATAATGGTTATAATAAAAAATTAAATAAATAAGTATTTGATTGATTAAAAACTTATCTTGTGTGACAACACTACAGAGCGAGTGGCTCTTCTAGGCGGGCAGCTGTGTGACAACACTACAGAGAAAGCGGCGCTTTCGTGTAACATGCTATGGTCTCAACGCCCTTACGAGGTAGTGATGAGTTTCACGCGCTCTAAGCCCGGCCCGCGCGCGGTTAGGAAGATTGGCCGCAATCTGAGCGGTACCACCCACCCTACCCTACACTTAAGATACCGAAGAACTCTTTTTTCAACTTCGAGATGTGGACATAGCATAAACATCCAAAGGCCCGGAACTCTTGTTTTTTAGCTTAAAGATAGGCCTTGAAGGAGCTGGTTTCAAGCGTGCTGCGTCGGACTATTCGCTCTTTACTAAGAAGACGAACTCAGGTATAGCGATTCTTATTGTTTATGTCGATGACATTGTTGTTACTAGGGATGATGCAGAAGCTATATCATATAAAAAAAAGCAGCTAAGAGATAAATTGTTCCGGGCACCTGCAGTAGCAGCAGGGATGGGAAAGACAAATAACCAGCCAACTATATATGCAGCCTGCCTTCCTCTCATCTTCCTTATAGAATGGGCTCCTCCTTAGAATTAACGAGATCTAGAGTCTTGGATGAATCCTCTTGAAATGGGTCGATCAACCCTAGAAGACTCGATGGCTTAACAGCCCAGTGAATAACCTGATTCAGAGAGATAACCCGGTCTTTAGCCCCTCACAAATGAAATTCTCAAAATCCATTGAAGAAAGAAAAAAGAATGTATTTTTCTGAAATAATTATTATTCAGAATTGTAATTTGCAGTAGTATAAGTATAGCCGGTGACCTGTAATAAAATTAAATGGAGACCATTTGTAAGCAACCTCTACCCCACAACATTCCTCCCATATGAGGAAGGAATGATGATTCACCCAAAATGGGTGAATGACCAATCTTTTTAAATGATCATTCATTTCTTATGAATCCAACAAAACATCAAACTAGAATTCCATTCCATTCTATTCTATTCCTTTCCACCCAACCAAACACACCCTAAGGTCAGAGATGGAGTGAGGCAGAAGAGGACCAATGAGGGTTTTTAAAGATGCTAATATGAGTGGGTGGGGCAAATTTTTTTTTTTTAAGGGACTAAGGGAATAAATTTTGGGTATTTTGTACATTTGTTCCTTGAATTTATAGGGGTTTGGCAACATACCCCTTAACTTTTTAATTTTGGCAATTTACCTCTTTATCTTACAAAATTGATCAATTTTGCTCTCATACTTTATCAAATTCAAGAGATTGAGAGTTAATTGAGAGATTTGTGTTACGATTCAAATTAAGATGTAGAAATTTTTCACTAAACGTATTTTTTATCGCCAAACAAAATCACCATTAAAGAGCAAATTTTAACTATTTTGCAAGTTAGGGGACAAATTGTCAAATTAAAACTTCAAGGGGCAAATTCCCAAACCCGGAAATGTGCAAATAACCCATAAATTTAGTATTATAAAATATTATAATAGAAAAATTAAGGATTATTTTTATAAATAGCCCCTAAATTACGTACCTAATCTCGTATTGTTCCCTTTATGTTTTAAACATCACATTGCCTCGAACTTTATGTTGTTACTCAAACGGCCTTAGTCAATAATGAGTCAAAAATTGGACAGAACCCTAAGCTTAAGTTCGGTAGGAATGGAAAATAGCAACGATGGAGTGGAGATTTTCTTTTATGTTGTTTGCCTTTGCTTGTTTGGTGGATTTTTTTTTAGGCTAATTAATGTGCGTGTAATATGCTTTTAAGAGATGTCAAGAGAATGAATATATGATCTTACGAGATGCGAAGAGAATGAAGAGCAAAAAGACTACTCCAAAACATTTTCTCTCCACGCATAATTCTAGCTGGGATTATTTTTAAAAGAGGAGTTGATTGCAATACAAAGGAACCAAAGCATATGATGTGATGAGGGGCGATTTTGGCTTGCCGTAGCAACAAAGCACAACGCCATTTTATTTATTTATTTTTGAATTTAATAGCGGGGAATTCAGGCTCTAGATCTCATCATTGAAAGATGGCGATTCTGTCATTTTTTATCAAGTGACTTCATTTCACGTGCACAATTGACATATATGGCCCCAAATACAACAACGCGGCAAATTAAAATTAAAATTAAAATAAAAAAAGGGTTGCCAAGCTGCAAGGCTAGAAATTATCATCGATCATAACGTCTGAAATCTACACATGTTCCGTGACAACCAACATTTTCAAACAACATTCGTAACATGTCCATGGATGAAAAAGAAAAATGATACAACTCAAGACAATCCAGCTCCCCTTGTGTTGGTGTTTACAACTTTTAGCATTTGTAGGCTAGTTTGATTTGATTAAAAAAAAAAAAAAAGGATTAACTTACATATCAATCAATGCCAAAAGGAGTGGAGTGCTCCTCATTCTTCCGCAGCACTTGCAGCACTCAAGTCCACACTCAGGTCCACAACCTGCTCAAAATATGGTGCATGCTCAGTTTCCACTTAAAAAACATTACAACTGAAATTATACTTTCATAAGGCATGTAAGTTTATCTACTATCTAGTTGGTCGGGAGAGGTCGGTCAGCAGACTTCAAGTTGTTCGTTGTTTAAAGTCGATAAATTTCCAAATAAGAAAGATTACCTTCCCAGTTATCAGGGTATACATGTTCAGCACATCTATCACTGTGGACTCAAAGTGTGTTGTAGCGTCGTAACTCTGCAACAATAAAGGGGTAAGTAATTATGCATCCATAATACTCAAACCTCAAAACACATACAGAAGTCGTTGAAAGAATTCAGGAGGAAAACCCAAGGCCAACTCACTGTTGATATAAAGCAATTGTCCAAAGTGGGCTCGTTGACTGGCTCATATCTGTCATACATATCATAGAATATCTCGTCAACAGGCCCAAGAAGGTCAGTTCCAGGCTTCAGCTCAGTCTCGGGATTATCAGTCTCTGCCTCGGTCGATACAAATGCAATAAATTTTCCTTTTGGAGCAACATTGTGAGAGTAAGAACAACAGAAGAGATACCTGAGAAGCCGAAAAACATCATGAGAATTAACTCGTAGAACAAACCTAACAAGTAACAACTCATCATCCAACGAGTCACTGTGCTAACATCAATAGCAAGGCTAAACCAAGTGCTCACCATTTTCATGTTCTCAAACTTAAAAACAGCTCAATTGTGGGTTTTCTTAGGTCTATGCACTCAGAGACATACACAAATGAAGAGAGAAAATTTTCAAATGCAGAATTAATCAGAATTTCCATGGTAAAAACCGACTACTCAGCCACATGATTCAAGGGAAAAATTACCATATACCAGTCACCGGGACATATGATCTACTTTCATTGTTTTATCTTTTACTTCCCTCCCTCAATTAACCCCCCCAACCAAAATGTGTGCGCCAGCTGTTGCTGCACTGGTTAGTTGTTAAAACAACTAGTAGAAGATAATCCTTTCTTCCAAGAAAGGACCAGCTTGGAATGAAGTAACGAGTCTAATTAAACAATCAACAGGAACAAAGAAATGGATTGTGAATTCTGATGAAGTAACGAGTCTAATGAAACAATCAGCCATTTCAATCTCATATCTGAGGGTCATTATATTGGAACTCACATGTCTGATATGCGACCCAACTGCTTCTGTGGCAGGATAACCTGCACTGAATGGGAATCATTGGTGTTGGGAATTGGATGGCTCATGATGGCAATTGCTCTTGCAACCTTTCCAACCTTTCGAACCTGTTGAATAGTACGTAAAAATGGTTTATTATCACTGCCTTCACCACCAACATTGACATAACCAAAATAAAAATAAAATTTTCAGCCCTCATGTCCGAGAGCTTAAAAAATTAACAGCAACAATCAGCCTAAAATTTTGATATAAAGCACACGAATACACCAACATCGAAAATGCTATTACCTTGTTCGGCAAGTACGACGGATCACATACAACTTTTTTGCATCTCGCAGTTTCGCCTTCAGAAGTAACACCAATAACTTTTCCTTCCTCATTGAACTCAACCTAGTATCAAGCAAAGATTAAAACCAGCTATCTAGTGACACACAAAGGAGATTAGGACTATAAAGCAAAGTACCTTGCACTCAGGTTTATTTAACATACATGTCCCGCCATAAACTGCACTGAGCCGAGCAAATGCCTGTCCAAACCACAAAAATTAGGTACATGAATACATAGATTGATTTATCTTGAAATCTCCAAATAAATAAATTTGCATATGCGTGTGTGTGAGTGAGAGAGAGAGAGAGAGAGAGAGAGAGACAGAGAGAGAGACAGAGAGCGAGAGACCTGAGGAAGCTCTCCTAATCCATATAAAGGATAAATGTATGGGGATCCTCCTTGGAAACGGGCAACAGACTCGGCATAAAGCTATTACATAAGCAACAAGCAGAAGTTCAATTGCATGACGAGACCAAAAAATTTCAATGAAATAAAACTTCAAAACCAATGGAGAAAAGTTAAAAGCAAGAGGAAATGAGCTTTTACCTTCATTCTTTTCACGGTGTCCAGTGCAGGTTCATTTAAGTAACGATCATCCCTATGAAGAGCTATTGCATGGCCAATGAAGTCCAAAGTGTTGTCATCAAGACCATATTTCCTGACAAATCATCCACCAACTAATATAAAAAATGGTCTAGGATGATTAAAAAAATTCATTAATGAATGTCGACAAAGCTCCCAATTCAATAAGGTAATAATTAATAAAGCAATATCGTTTTATCAAAGACATTCAGAAAATAAATTAAAAAAAAGGGAAGCAACTGTCAATAGCTTGATATGTTTGTGACTATTAAAACATAATAATCAGTATTACTAGTATTGTGAGGAAACAAAATCTGACGTAGGCGATGTGAGCTTTCAACTAGTAAAAAGACCTGTATGTTTCTTGTTTTTAATTACATTAAATACTATTACTACCACAAAAGGTATAAGATACTGTTTCTTTTTATTTTTTTACTCAAGAAGAATATTGTTTCTAATTCTTGATTTCACTTAATACTACTTCAAATGGTATCAATATTGTCTTTGCTTACTCAAGATCATACCTGTCTTTATTTCAAAATTTTTAGCAGATGAACTTTATTGAATTTGATATAATCAATCCAATTATATGATTATATGAGACGGTGCCAAAGGGTGAAAGACAAGAGTTAAGTAGTTCCAACAAATAAGAATGGCAAAACTAAAGTGCTTACGAAACGAGTTCTCTTGTAGTGACCCTTGTCAAGTCGAAGCCGTCATGGGTTTTGGGGTCATTTTCATCATAATCTTGGACATAAATGAAGAACTTGCGAGCGCGACGTTTGTAATGACTGGGTCATTTTCATCATAATCTTGGACATAAATGAAGAACTTGCGAGCGCGGCGTTTCTCAAAAATGCCCATGAGTGGAGATTTGAGTGCCTCCATGTCTGTAGCGGGAACCTTGTGAACCTATTAACCGGCCACGAAGGAGTTGATCAGAAGCATTACCAACTATTAATAGAGTGATAAGAAAGAGAAGATCAGAAGCACTACCAACTATTAATAGAGTGATAAAGAGAGCAACAGTGAATCATAATAATACCTTCCCTTTGTTAAAGACGTAGCTGCCATCTACGGCTTTGAAGTACAAATACTTGGTGACGTCGGTATGAATAAGGACACGGACAAGAGTTCCATTTGCCATCATGAACTAGCAGAGAGAAAACACACACACAGAGTAATTAATGAATTAAATCAATTGAATGAAGAACTAGAAAAAAAGAAAGAAAGAAATTGTATAATAAAGTATGATATTAGGTAATTAAAAGGGAACCTACCTTGGGGATCATATCAACATTATAATCCCTGCTGGAACCCAAATGAGCTGGAGGGCTATCGTTGCCTCTGAACCTCTTCCAGAGCTGTATTTATGTATTGTAAGTAATTGTAAATTAAGAAACAAAGAATTTTAATAGTCAGTAATTGTATTAACTAACAATTGCTCGGCTAGTTATAAACAGTTAGTCGAAAATTGTAAAGGCAGGCACGCAAATCGTAATAGGCAATAATAAGAAAAGAAAAGCAAAGAAAAGAAAATATCAGACCTGATTGAGATTAAGGGAAGAAGACTCTCCTCCATAATAATCATTACGATCCATGTGCAGCACCTGTAGTAGTAGTAGTAGTAATAATAGTAATGTTTCATTTCATTTGATTCAATCAATTTGACTTTGAATTGAATGGAATTGAATTGGTTACTCTATTACATTACAGAATAAATTGAAATCACAAAGGGCAATCGTCGATAACAATAATAATAATAATGAAAAGTATGAGATCTGAATCTGGAGAAGAAAAAATAATAGAAAGGAAATGGGATCTGAAAATATAAGTATACATATATATATATATATATACATATAGAGAGAGAGAGAGAGAGAGAGAGAGAGAGACCTTGAGGCCGTCAACGGAGAGAAGACCGCTGAGGATGCACTCCTTGAGACCTGTTCCCAACACGATCACGTCATATTCTTCATCCATCGCTTCGCTTCGCGGCGCTGCTACAGCTGTTCTTCCGATTGCCGAATTCCGATCAGAATGAGATTCAGATTCAGATTAGGGTGGTCGGATAGATCTCTTCTTCTTCTTCTTCTTCTCTGTTTTTATTTTAGGGTTTCGTTTCGTTTATAATTAGGAGTGATTGATTGACTGACTAACAGATGGATAGATATTCCGATGATGCTATTTATTTATGCTAATATTACTATTACTACTCTCTCTCTCTCTCTCTCTCTCTCTCTCTCTCTCTCTCTCCTCTCATCTCAGGGGCCTGCGGCTAGGGTGGGGATAAAATATATATTTTTCAATTTTATTTTACACAAATAAATAAAAACAATAATAATGCCTTCCTATCCATCATCGTTATAATTGATGAATAAAATGTCACTGTTTATCCTAACAAGAAATTAAATAATTATAAGGGAAATATAAAAATAGTATCTTGTGTTTTAACATAATCATCTTTTAATATTTTTTGTTTTTTTTTTTATAATTTTAAATCAATACCTTAATGTGTTAGAAAATCCTTCTTAATATCTTGAGGTATGAGATGTCATTTCTACCTATGTATTTAATTTGCCTAGATTTTTTTTAGAAACATATTCAGACTTAAAACTCTCTCACTCTCCAAGCTCGTTTGACATTACTTTAAGGCTGTTTTTAATTTTTTTTTTTAAAGATGTTACAGCAGATATGGGTATTTAGTAAATACCGCTTTTATCTAGCCACTTCTAAAAAATGATGCCAAACAACTTTTTAGAAGTAAGTCATGAGTTATTTTTACACGGCTACTTCTACAGTTATTATTTAAATTTATTAAAATAACCTTAATGATAAATCTTAATTCTCTATTTACCCATTTTATTTTTTCATACCAAATTAAAAATATTTTTTAAATTTTATTTTAGACTTAAATATTTTAAAAATATACTAATATTTTTTATAATTATGAAAATGTTTTAAAAAAAATAATAATAAAATACTATCTAGACGTTTGGTTCACGGATTCAGAATCATTATCAGTTTAAGTGTATTTTTTGTAAGAGAAAACACTATAACGAGTCACAAACCATAATTCGAACCATGTCATGAAACCTCATACCAAACATTTATATAATTATCAAAATATTTAAAAATAACATTAATAAATAATATGAATGATTTTTTTTTTTATAAAAAATTTCAGGGTACCAATTTAAAATTATTAAAAAGTATAGGGTATTAAAAAATAATTATACTAAAATACAAGGTAGTAATGTAAAATTTTTCTTAATTATAATACGAGATTAAAATGTGGACGAGAGGTGCTTTTTCTTTCCTTTTCCTTTTATTCTTTACATAAATAAACAAAAACAAATATTCCAGCGAAGAGATGCTTTGTTTGTTGATTAAGAAAGAAAAACAATGTCTCATTTTAACGGGGTAACTTTATTTCTTTACAAATGCAAGTAAGCGATGATAATTTATAATTAGTTTGCAATTTCTCAAACAAAGACCATCCCTATGCCTATCTGTGCCATCCCTGCCCCTCACTCCACGAAACATATCTCCACTCCACTTTTACATTCTTTTCTTTTCTTTTTTTCGTTTCTGTTTTTTGTTCCTTTTTCTTCTTTTTCTTTTTCAACAGCGAAAAAAGCCTTCGCTCTGCATTTATTTCCATCTTTCACTTCAAGTGATTATAAACCACAGCATTGTATCTATGATGGATGACAACAATATTATACGACAACGACCACTTGCATATACGACAACGACAATATATCTAACGAACGACTCATACATTTATACGACAACTTAAAAAAGATACCGTTCAAGTCGTGTATACACCAGCACAAGAGTATCGTTTCCGTTTTTTCCCCCTAATAAAAAAGTTTTAACACCTTATTTGCTAAACTTTTTCATGTTTGTAATGAATCTCAGACTTTAAATAATACAATTTACGTATTTAAGTTAAGGATTTTTCTAGAAAATATTATGTAACTGAATGATTTATGGAATTAATATCCGTATTCCTAAATTCTGTAGCAGATTTCATGTTCAGTTCATGTTTTTGATCAAGTAAATTCGATCGATAAATTCTCACCGTACTTTAAGGCGGAATAATTTTCAGTACAAGTATAGTTTGAGAATCTTAGTTTTAAGAATCTCCAAGCACAATATGATGTTAGCAGCGTATAAAAAAACGCACTGACATTTTAAAGAAGAGAAAATCCTTAATTGCCAGACAGTTAGGTTAAAGTCACAGGATAAATACCCATAGTAGAAGGGTGCAATGTAAGCTCGGGAGTTGACACCATCAGAAACAATGTCATTCCCGGGATTTAATGCAGAAAAGTTAAATTTAGAATGTGTTCAGTCTAGAATTAATTTCAAGACTTGAAATAGTTCAAGATATTACGCGAGTAAGAATTTAATGTAATGTCGAAGTAGTCAGGAATTAATATTAAACTGTAAATAAGCAGTAGAAAAGGAACCGTCAGAAACTAGAATTTCCTGTCGACTAAGTTACTTACCTACAGTCAATATAATTTTTAGTAGTTTCAAGAGAAACTTAAGAGAGTGGACAAAAGTACAAGGGGTAGGATTTATTTTTCTCTCTCTCATTCTCCACTTGGCCGGCCATGTATAGTAGAAATAGAGCCAAAATTTGGCTAGTTGAGTATGCTAGAAGGTTACATGTTAAGGTGATGTGATAGTAGTGGTTGAAGGGAAAATCATGGCAAAATTTGCTTTTCCTTTTCTCCTTCCATAACCGGCCAAGAAAGGGGGGAATTGAACCAAAATTTGGTTGATTGAGGGAGTTGATGTTGTGTTAAAAAATGATTTCCAAGTTGCCTATAAAAGGAACCATCATAGGATAAGCCTCATTTTTTTCTCCTAGCTTTTCTCACCACCTCAAAATCCGGCCACACTCTCCATTCTCTCTCAAATATTTTCTCCCACTCTCCCAATCTTGAGCCACTAGCAAACCGTAGAAGAAGAAGAAGGAGATCAAGGGATTCTAGGAGGAGACTAGTCAAGCATTCCTCCAAGGGTAAAGAAACTCTAAATCCTCTCTTTCTCATGTTTTAGTAAAGTTTGATATATAGAAATATTAATCTCAAACTTCCTTATACTCTTATAGTTTCAAGCCATTAACAAATCTTATAGGAGTTCAAAGGTTTTCAAGAGAGAGAGAGAGTTCTTCAATAGTAAGTTCCTAAACTCTTCTCCATTGATTTCTAGCCAACTTTAAGCTTGAATTTATGGATGTAAATTTGTGGCTCTTGAGGAGATAAGATTGTAATAAGGGTGTGTGAGTTTTATGTTTGGTTTTGTGAGTTATGAGATTAGTTTGATGTGGTATGCTTATGCTTGAGTTAAGTTTGCTTACTTCCGGTTAGAAGAAAAATTTCCGGTTACTTTGAACACGAAAATGAGGACCCTAGAGGGAGATTTTTTGATGTTTCAAAGCTTGAAATTATAGCCCTTGATGTTTTGAACATTTTCGGTTACTATGACAAAATCCAATTTTAACTCAAAGTAAGTTTGTAGCTATTTTGTAAAAAACGGACAGGCTATCCAAACACAGTTTCAAAAAAAAAAAAAAAAAGCTACGGCAGCATGCTATAGCATTCTTAGAGCATTAAGAAAAAATATATAGCAGCAACGGTTTTCAGCCAAACGAGGCCTTTAGAGGCTGAATTTCAACTTTTACTAAAAATGACAATTGTAGATCTCAATGAGACGAAGAATTGTTGCGAAGAACAAAATTTTGAAATCTGACTCTAAGATGCAGTAAAACGTAGATTTCAGAAATTGTACAGTTTTTAACCAAACAAAACTAAAACAGTGTTGGTTTTAACAAAAGGTCAGCAAAGAACCTGATATAGGATTTCAGTAAAATACAATGGCATTAAATCTCATTTTAACGAAAGTATTCGTAAAGAAAGTTTTCAAGGAAAAAAAATATTTTTTTTAAAGAACATAGTGGTTTATCGAGCGAATTATCCCGACAGGCACCTACGAGCCCAATAAGATAGGTCCGTAGAATTTTAAAGGTTTGATGTGGGTCCAACGCCCGCATTAATTTAAGAGACTCCGTTTAAATTTAAATTTCAACGGCCTAAGAGTTAGAATGTCCTGAATAAGTTTCTAGGCCAAATTGGGCCTTAATATCATAATAAACCCAATGAGGAAAATTATGGAGAATAAGTTACTAGATTGGATACATGATTTTTAATCTAGACATAAGTATGTTAAAGGCAATTAAGGAAAATAAGATTTGAAAGATTTAATAAATTGATCCTTATAGTGAATTATCATTCAGTAAAGGAAAGGAATACATGCCTTAAGTAAATGGCTAGATTTCCTTCATAAGTTGCTAAAATAGAATAGCAAACGACAGATAATCTCACACTCTCAATGGGTGTTCATTTTCAGAAGTAAGCAAGTAAGAGAATAGACTGTTTGGCGAAAAATGGATTCCAGCTCTATAAATCAGGTAAGTACGAATCTCGTCTACAGCATGAATAGATTTTAAAGAAAAAATTTACACATGTTATATATATACATGTTTATGCTTTAAGTATTGTATGCGATACCATGTCATACTGTATACACCTTAATAAGTCAAGAGGAATTTATAAGAATAATCTCAATTGAGTGCCGTACTAGCCTCCACAAGAGAGGTAACTCAAGCTCCACAAGGGAGAAAATAAAAAAATAATAATAATGTCCTCCGACTTAAGGGAGGCATTCAAGTTATAATCACGGTGTCGTGGGGGACCTTGCAAACCCTCACGTCCTGATGATTGCGCGCAAGTGGTACACGAGCACTCGGGCCCATAAGAAAGAAAGATAAGATAAGATAATAAGACTATGATAAGACATCATAATTAAGCATAATTAGCTCATGCATATTTATTCATGTGTACTCACAGTTATTTTGTGAGATATAGTTCCTACTTGCTGAACGAAAGCTCAATCAAATATGTTCATGCTGTAGGTAAGAAACCTATCAACAATTCTTGAAGAGCAATGGCAAGCGGTGGATGAATGGTGGAGATGGGAATGGATACCGCTAACATTCAAATCTTCCGCAGTAAGTTTAAGTAAAATCATGTATATGTATATATGATTCAAAGGAGGTTTCAAGCATGTATGTTTAAAAAGTATATGTACATATTTATGTTAAGGAAACCGAGGTTGTAGCTAACAACCCTAGTCTTGAGTATTTAAGTTTTAGAATGTTGCAACAGTGC